GGATCCGCATGTCACTAGGAAAGCATGGGTTGCATCAAATAGTCAAATGGCGGTTTGCACATAATTGCATGAGAGTGGTTAACAATATGACAACCGTTGTGTGGACTCGACATTCATTGCTAGACTAATCATGAGAAAGCTTAAGAAGAACGTGGATTACACGGTGAAAGATGTGCAAGAAGATGTGAAGGAGTTAGTAAAAGTTGATGTCCCCTACAAAAGGGGCGTGGAACGGGAGGAGGAAAACCATAGAGGCAGTTTATGGCGATTGATCCTCTAATTTTGAAGAACTTCCTAGGTGAATTTCAATTTTGATAATTGTCAATCAAATTTGTTTTAACTTTTACTTGTATTGGGATATATTAACTCGGGAAAACTTGATGTGTAGGTATATTGAAGTACTTAAGAAAACTAATCCCGAAACTGTAGTGGAATGGGAATGGAAGGATGGAGAAGAAGGTTGGAATATGGAAAGTAAAACTTTTAAATACGTGTTTTGGTCATTTGCACCAGTGGCTGCGACTTTCCTTGAATGTCCGCCGGTGATTTCTGTTGATGGAACACACCTACGTGAGGGATACAAGGGTAAGTTGTTAGTAATAATGAGAAACGTGATGTATCCGGCTGTGTGTTCTTCTACAAGTATTTATATATTCACTACGTGGCAATTCAGTTTGAAAAATATTTATTATATTGTGAAGTATTATTATTAATTGTTGTTGTTATTGATTTAGGTTTGGACATACGAGTGGATCCTAAGAATCATGCCCCAAAGAATTTTAAAGAGATTTGAAGAGGATCCTACAGTTCCTTCAGCTTATCGGTGAGTTTATATTCTATACTCTTAATTTAAAGATTACTAATATCATTATTATTTTTATTGGATAAATAATACCTTTGATTTTTTTTGTATTGAAAGGTGGAATTGCTCGTACTTCTACAAGGATGTCCCAAGGTCTAGTCTCCCGGGTTCTAGAGATCAATTGACCACCTTAAAAGCCAGTGATGTAAGTATGAATCACTTCTTATTTTATTATTATTAATTTTTTTGCCACCATTCTTATGTGAATTAATTCGTTAATTCCCAATTTTTTCACAGTTTGTTTAGCAACCCTACGAGGATCTCCTCCCTACCCTCCCTGATTTCTGTAAACAGGGAAGTGCCATTTAGATGGCAAGGACGTGATGTTCTACTGGGCTGTTCGAGAACCCCACAAAAAATTGACAGGGTCATGAGATAGTTTGGCTACATTCAAGCTATTCCCCGATGTCCTATGATTCCCAATATCCAAGAGAATAACATTACTCACGAACACAACATATTTGGGCTTACTGAGAAAAATTGAGTGGATCACCATAGTAAAGTACACCCCTTTTAGAATAGGAGACACCGAAACATTCTTAAGGATTTGGAGGAAGGAGAGTTCGGTCAAACTAATGAGAAGTACGAAGCGTGGTTCAACAAATGTTCGGTGAAATTGATAAGCGATCCGAGCCACTACACATCAGCCGGATATGAGTCTTCATCGATCCGGGTGAAAGTCTATATAAGTATTTACAATTAATCTACATATGGAAGTGCAGTTTACTCTATTCATATAAATTTTGAATTATACTCCTTTAGTTAACGCATCATTTGATTTCCAGGGTGAAGTGTTGAACAATGTTTGTATGAAGGCCATATCATTCCGAGAAGAACGTTGTGTAGCCCATGACCTAGACGAAGAACTCGAAAAGGTGCTTGACTATTTCGCGGACGTATCCCACACTGCTTTAACTCTTGGAAAAGACAATGAGATGGAAATTGAGGATTCCCAAATCCTTTTGAATTATGAACCGCGTCGCCCCTCACAAGGTCCGCGCGGTGAAACAATGAAGCCGTGGAAAAGAGAGAAAATTAGAGGAGGAAGAAAGCGAAGGAATCCATCAGGCCATCACAATAGCAGGATCACGCGGAAGGTTCAGGCCAACACGAGCAAGAGAACCCAGGAGGAGAGAATGTGGGAGGAGGGGAGGCAATGAGAGGAGACAATGTGAGAAGAGAGGACGATGTTGGTTTTTTGAGAGGATCTTACAGCCCACATGAAAAAGAGGCACCTTTCCCCATTATTCTCGGAGGAGACTCTCAAGTCCTAAACTTGCAGCCAATTGTTACAATCCTTCCAGAGCAGCAGGAACAAGGGGTTTGCAAATCCGACAGGACGCGCAGCTTGTCGGTTAACTTTACCCCGCCCACTATTCCTAAGAGAGGGAAAAAATGATAGTTGATTAGTCTTTTTAGGGTTTTTGCATGATTTGGATAGTAAGTTGAGAAATTTACATTATTTTGTTGTGAAAATGTTATCACTCTGTTGTTTAATTAGTTTGTTATGAATTGGTTGTTGGTGTTGTTTAAACAGAGTTAGGACTGGTGAAAACTAGACCATTATTTTTTTCAAGTTTCTGGTATGCCTCGAATTTGTCAAATCCGAAAGCTACCATTTTGGTATGTCTCGGATTTGGCAAATCCGAGAGTGCCCGTTTCTCTGATATCGGATTTGGCAAATCCGAGAGTTTTGCAGAATCTGCGGACTCTCGGATTTTTCTAATCCGAGACTCTTCCTATCAACTTAGAATTTTTTTCGAATTTAAAATAATATTTTATTCCACAATTCGGATTACGGAAATCCGAAACTACTTCTTTCGGATTTGGGTGATCCGTTTCTAGTCAACTTTAATTTTCGAACACTTAGATTTTTTTTTCAAAATATAAATTATTTTTTTATTGAAACCATTCGGATTTTCCAAATCTGAAACATGATTAATTTTAATTAATCATTTAGTTATATTTAATTAATCTCATGTTAGAAGGCTTTCGGATTTGGCAACTCTGAGTTCATCTTCACTCGGATTTGTGAAATCCGACTGTTAGGTGCTCTCGGATTTGGCAAATCCAGGACATCTACTTCTGTCCACCTTTTTTCTCTTCACATTATTTTTGTCAAGGTTCTTCTCTTGATAATTTTTTCGGTATAAAACTCCTCAACTATTGCATTTCGTCTATTTAGTTCCGACATATCTCATATTTCATCAATTAAATGAGTTTTTTACTAAAACTTTTTAACGGATTTTTATTAATATTCCTTTGGTCAATTTATTTATTTTTTAAATAAAAATTTGACAACATACTCTTTGGCTCCGACATCACCATATTTCCTTTTGTTCCTTCACCACCTCAACACTTAATTATCGACTGCAGACATTTGTAATCCAAAACCAAGGTAATTTATGGTTCCGTTCACAATTTTCTTTTTGCCATGGTTAATTGTGATCAACAAAAATTATAAGCTATAGTTGAGATTGCGACACTCCCCTCTCGTTGAAGTTGTTATAGGAAATATAAAGGAAAACAATTTATGTATGGGGGGATTAAGTACCTTTGATTGGAAAGGAAAGTACACTAAGCACTTAGACTGAAGTAGTAGAACTTTCTGATTAATTATATTCTTTCTGTCCTAAAAAATAGTTTAGACTAGCATATTTTTTTTTCAAATAGAGGTACGATTATTTATCTTGACAAGAGAGGTAAAACCAGTGCCGATCCTAACGCTCAGTAGACCTAGAGACAAAATCAGAAAGAAGGCCCCTAATTTTTTTTTCCAAAATTGAAAAAATAAAAAAACACCCGTTATATACGTGTAGCTGATTAAAATCCACCATATACTTTCTCATGAATTTAAAACATTGTCGTTGTTGGTATACAATACCTCAAACCTGTAAATAAAGGTTAACATTTGGTATTTAAGTAAGTAAAGACCTTTAGAGAGAAAAAGCATAAAAGCCATATATAGTTACCATACAATCATTCAATAAAGTATTTCGATAGTTGCTTAATTTTCTTGTGAGCATTTGAGATTCAAAATCATTACTAATTCAACCCTTATCAATAATATAACATTTTTGGAAGGATTTTTAAAAATTTTGACATTTTTAATTATTTCATATTATTTAAAACAATAACTAACCTACTATAATATTAATAATCTTAAGTAGGTTGGGGCCCTCTCTAGAATTGGGCCCCGACCAGTCCCCTTCTTCGCCCTTCTTCAGGGACGGGCCTGGGTAAAACTAACATCCAACAAATTTATTGTTGTTTATTTAACTTACCATTTTGGTGCTTCTAAAGTGAACAACGAGAAATATGGAACCCAATTCTTGAAAATTTTGATCCGACCATCATTAATTGGTTGATAAATTAGAAATCAATTTATGCTATTTGGTGATTAAATCGTTGAAAATTATTTTGTGCTTTATGATGGTCCTAATATCCTTATCAATCTTGTGCTGGTAAATCCATCTTAGTGCTTCAGTGGAATTGAGAAGAGAAGCTAAATGTGTGTAAAAGGAGGAAATGGTTGTGCATATGCTCCTCTAGCTCTTTAGAGCTAGTGTTACTAACTAGTAAGGAGCTGCTTGAATTATTTAACAAGTTAATGTAACATCAAGTGTAATATAAAAGAGTAACAAAAGATGATATGAGCAATTCAGATATGAGTTTGAACTTTTCAAACTCACTAACCTTGTGAGGTTTATTCGATTTGCGCGAAATTGCGGTTTTGCATTATTAACATGTGTTTTGTGCACTTGAGTTTTTAATGTTTCTCGTGTGTCTGAAACTTTGTTTGATGCTCAATGGCACGTTATTAATTAAAAATGCCAAAGTGGGTTTTAATCTAAGATAGTTTTTTTCTTTTTCACTTTTTATCCTTTTATTACTTTTTGTTCGGACTTTTGTTGATTTCGAATTATTTCAACGTTGTTTGGTGTTTTAGGGTTGGATCTACAAACTTCAAATTTTGGTATAGTTTCTGCAGTCTAAGCAATCAATCAAGTTTTTTTTTTCTGAACAATGCAATAAATCAAGTTGAGTTTGGAAACTTTCATCTCTTTTGGAACTAAGACACATCGCTAAAGAAGTACATCGATAACAACTAAAAGAAAAAATAGGTAAAAAATAGAGTTTAAGAATTTCTGAACTTGGAGATCATCAATTCAATCTTTTCTATAAGTTTGGCTGCATTTTTTCCCTGAGAAGATGAAGAAGGTTTAGTCCATTCCTGGAACTGATGAAGGGTAGCAGTGAAATCAGTGAAGAGTCCATCCACCCCAATCTTGTTAATCCAATAATCAAATTCATCATATGGATCTTGGCTGAAGTTAAAGTGCAAGAACTGGTTCTCGTTCCTGTACGTGTACGGATGAACCTGAACAAACCATCCATCAAACCCTTTATTTCAAGATGTTTTCTTTCATGATCAAGTAATGAATAAATAGTTCCATGGTCGGGAAGCGCGACATTAATGTCACGACCATATATATAAATGTTCCCTAGAATTTTACGCAATGAATAAACACCCACATATAAGGCTGAGCCGTGTTACCTAATTAACTAGGAAGCAAATGAAAGATGATCTTGGAGGGAGGGAAGGTAATTCTCTTTAAGTTACCTGAAGGCTAAGAGCATGAGCTCTAGCAACCATATCGCCAGGTTGATGTAGATAGTTGTCCAAAACTGTTACAACTGTGTCCTTCCAAGGTCCAATCCCAACACAAAAATCCTTGATGTATTCCAAGTACTTGTCCGAAGTGATTTCATAAAATGTCTGGTTAAGCATATCAGAATTCCATCAATTTTAATTAGTAAGTTGTTGAGAGGACAATCAATGAATCTATCAGTACTAAAGCTAATTACTAATTAAAAATATATGGATTTACCTGATTGGTATCCTCAGTGATGATATTAACATCATCAATTAGGAAGACTTTGGGAAGATCAGTTAGGTTGGATATGTAAGTCAGATATGTTGGCGCAAACGATTGAATGAATGCAGGTTGTTTCAACCATTGTTTTGACATGTATGATCCCTTGTACCCGAACTTCTTCAGTATTTCCACAAACGTGTCTTCAAATTTCTTCCCATCTGACCATTTCACCTGTTAATTTAATTAACACAGTATCATTTGCTTTTTTTTCCCCCTCTTTGTTTATTTCGAACACAACTTAGATATATTTGATTCTGTTGAACTAAAACCGAACAACAAAATGTGGGACACAGAGTTTAGAACTCACATGTTGGTTCATAAAAACTGGATTTTTAATCTCAGGATATATTCCCACAACTCTGGGAGCATCCAGTGCAATTGACAATAACTCTTCAAACGTAATAATCTGATACTTTCCTGCACCAAATATTCCAACGGAAACAGAAATGTGTAAATGCTTTCACTCCACATCTAATTCATATAAATTAACTCTTCAAATGGAAAGCGATCTATGCGATTATTTATAGTATACGATTAACTTTAACAACAATCAATTAATCTAACATGGCCCTCTTCGCGTCAAGAAAAATACGAACTTCCTCCACATGCAGACAGGTTTCATGAATTCCAAGTAGTAATGCAGAGAGGTTAGAAGTTAGAAAAGTAAACATTTTGCCAAAAGTATAGCTTCATACTTACTCCATATTTCTTAACATGAACTAATATATGTAACTAACCATTATGCTGTTGATCACGGAATGGATACCTCTGCTTCAAGCGCAATGATTTTAGTTCTTCAAGTGTGAAATCAACTACAGAAACAAACAGGGGGAAAAACACAGTTAGAACAACACTTCGAATGCTTCTAGCTACATCATACAATTAATAAGCTAATTAATGTGTGTACATAGAAGGAACTTCAGGGGAATAGATTATGGGAATAGGCTCTTAATAATGACAATCTCTGGGGGCGTTGGGTACATGGAAAATATTTGAAAGATAAAGAGACATGGGATGTCCAGGCCACATCAGACTCAAGCTGGCATTGGAAACCCTTGATGAGAGTTAAAGAAAAAATGCAAGCAGAGTTTAGACATGGGAGATGGATAGCTAGAAAAGATGGACAATATACGATGAAATCTGGTTATGATTGGCTGGTTGGCAAGGAAGAAAGGAAGAAGGAAGCAAAAATGGTTTGGAATATGTTGAATTTGCCTAAACGCAGCTTCATTATGAGGTTATGGTGGGACAAAAGGCTGCTAACTAGAGTTTGTATGAAAAGATTGCACTTTTCCATTGACGATCTATCTTGCCCTCTTTATTATGACGAGAATGAAACTATAGACCATCTGTTCATTGCATGTAAAGTGGCAGCTGAGCTATGGAGAGCGTTGATCCAGTTGGATTCAACTAAAGAACATTAATTTACAAAATTGTAGAAGTCTTCTTTATGTCTGCAAATGGAGTAGGATCAAGCAAAAGGTACTTTATGTGGTTGTGGCTGCAGGTGTTTATCATTTGTGGAAGGCGAGAAATTAGACTATATTTGAGGGTAAACAACCCAATGTTGAACGTATGGTTCAAGCTATCCAACAAGAATTCAGATGGTGGACACAGACCATTTGTAAGAAGCTGAAAGGTAGTGAGAAAGCATACTTACAAAAGCTTAAATTAGTAGACAAGAAGTTTTTTCATTCTGTTGATTGATCACTAGTACCGTTGTACAAGGTTAGTTCTTTAGCTGCTTTTTTGTGCTAAGGTATAGCAGCTAATTTAGTTCTGTGTGCTGTGCTGGTGTAATAGTGCAGATGCACAAACTCTGGTATTTTCAGTTTGTGAATATAAGTAATGCAATTTACCATTTACCTATAATAATAAACTTCAGGGATGCAATCCAAGGGGATAAAACGAAAAATAAAAAATAAAAAAGGAAAGAAAAATAAAGCTAACTCCAGGGTTAACTGTCATCCATTTGAGAGGGAACTATATACTATCAAATTCATACATCTAGTAGTAGATATATAGCTATAAATATATATATATACCTGCAAAGTAGCCGGTGGTGTTGGTACCCTGAACAACATAAGTTCTTTTCCGATTAGCGAGTTCCTTGTGGTCAGCAATGTCAGTGGTAGCATCAAGCGTTACATCATGAATGCAAATAAGAACACCATCTTTTGAGGTTTGGATATCGGATTCTATGAAGTCGGCGCCCTCTTCTATTGCTCTCTGTGTGCAAACAAATTAAACATGTTTTTCAGGCTCTGTCACTATATTGCAAAGGAAACTGCAGCTCGCTCACTCATTCCCTAGCTGACTCTAGTAGGTTTATGCAATAACTAGCATTTTACCTATTACGTGACGTACGTCGCTTTCCAATAGGTTTATACTACTTCCATATTAATAAGTCCTAAATTTGGGTTTGATAGAGCTTCATAAATATTTTCTACCTACATAGCTGACTCTTCCATGTATACAGATCTCAATTTGCATCATTAAAAGAAAAAGCTTGCATCCAAAAACAAAAAAACAAAAAAAAATAGACCTCCAAAATAAGATCTACAGCACATAATTAAATACAAATTAATACTTGTCTTAAATTCATGGCACAAATTAAAATGTACCCATACAAGATTGATTGATATCCTAATTACCATATATCATTCTGCATTTTATGTATATCAAATACTAATCAATAAGAGTAATCCATAACTCAAACATATATATGGAATCAAACAACAAGAATCACGAACTAGCTAGAACTAGCTTTACCATGTATGCAGGGGCAGATTCTTCGGGGAATTCTCCATTTGAACCTCGATGTGCAATGTTAAAGGGGCGAAAAGTTTGTAAGGGATGTTTGCTTTTATCATTTCTTCTGCCCGGAAGTGGATACAGAGGCCTGCTGGTAGCGCAACCAGCAGGCACAACTACTAACAGGAACACAAAAAGGACCACACGACCTGCAAAGAAAACAAGACCAATTTCAGCATGTTTTTATTTATGTTTGTTATAAACTCTATCAAATTTCTACATAAAAAAAAAATAAAAAAATACTCGTACTCTACTAATTAAGAGAACCCGAATCATCAAAGCAAGCATTTTAATTAGGGATGAGGATCTATCTTGGAAATTCCAATCATGATGAGGAGATACTCATTGATTAATTACACAAGTACAATGCAAAGAGAGAAGAATCCGTGATATATATGATATTCTTTTCTACACACAAAAAAAAAACAAAAAAATCAATTTGAAAAAAAAATTAAATCACATTCCACAATGAAGGGTTTATGAAGATCTGACTAAATGGAGGCAGCATGGGTACTACTGGAGTTGAGAATAATCAGCGGAAATGAAAATGGAGGGAGTAATGTTCGTTATTTTTTAGATTCCAGTAATTATTATGTATAGAGAATGCTAAATATATATAGATATATGTTCTTTTGTGTGAGTGACGAAGTAATGAAGAGGTTCAATATCAGGTGCAGATTATTCGGCTTGGATTTATATATTCTTCTGGGGAATATCCTCTCTGCTGATTTGTCGTGTGATTTATCTATTAAGTAACTGAGTTTGTAGAATTATCTATTGACACCGAAAAATAATACAGTATTTTAATCAATTAAATGGTTCATTTTTTGGAAAGAAAGAACAAAAATACAATATTAAAGTTTGTGATTCACGTGAATATAAAACATCGGTACTAGTTATCCACAACACAATGCTTAAAATGTAAGCTCTAAAAAGGGCACAAGGTTTTGTAGAATTGATATTGATTTTGGCGCACAAGTTTTCTTCTTCGTATAAATGACCATTTTAGGATTTTATTTATTTATTTATTTATTTTTGCTTTAACTATCTTAACGATCACAAATATGGTCCTTATTATAAAGTATTTTGATTTTGTCATAGTTTCATCTAGAATACTTTTTTAATTTGAGAAAAAAAAAACCTTAAACATATTTTTTCATATTTATTGTAATCTCTTAAATCATTAGGATATGTTTATAAGGTTTTTATTTCAATTAAAAGGATATTTTAGGTAACACCCAGAATAAAATCAAAATATCTTATAGTAAGGACATGAGAGAGTACGATATAGTAAAGATAAAGATAGATTAAATCTTGAACTTTAGACTTGGCACGACCTCGTAACAATCGTATGGAATCATTGCTCTGTGTAGGTTCCTTTTGCCGATGTGCCAAGAGAACATCTGTAGCATGTCGGCGAAGACTTCCCTCTCACTCACTTTGCCAAGGTAGTATCAAGACTGGACATGGCCGCGATTAATTAATTCTAGCATCATTTGGGAATGAAATTCCTTGACATATTATCAATCACCATAACATTTGAACGCATCCCGTCAGAACTTTATTAATTTGGGTCTCGAATCTTTCCTATTTTTTTACCATTCTATACAATTTACTCCTAATCATCGCAAATGAATGCCAGATTAATGAAATATAGGGGGTTAATCCAATGGATGAAATTTTATTCAAAGGAAGACAAATAACTACATTTAGGAAAAAAAAATCCCCTAAACAATTCTTGTTCAATCCGTGATTTTCATCGATCTATATTGGTAAAGACTTCCAAAAACTACTCAATCGTATTTTTATTCTATATATAATTCCCTCTCTTCTATTTAATCTTATAATTAAAATGGTTTAATAAATAATAAGTACTATGAATTCTCGAGTTGAAATCAAATAGGTAATTAACTGCACATCATTACTACTGAAGTTAGTGAGATAGTTGAGTTATTTTAAACGGAGATATTACGTATACATGTAATTCGCTTAATGTAATAACTCATTGTATGTGTAAAGTAGCACCTTAATACCATGTAAAAACCTTCAACAGAAGAATTAGTAGACTTAATATAATGAATAGAAAAAGGTGGAGCGGTGGAGTGGCAGACTATTTTTTTTTTTTTTTAGGTGTATCATTGTTTTTCCAATCAATAAGCAGTAACATAAATAGGGACGACAAAATCCAAAGATCAAAGCTCATCATGCACACCCCTTATCTCCTTGTATTAGTTTACTACTGTTTACAATAGGTGGATATATTGCCTTCCTGATTATGCCAATTAGGGAAGTTTCAACACAAGTTTGTCTTCATGGGCATTTTGAACGTGATGATGCTGCTAAAAAGCATGGGAAATGTACGTTACTTTCTTGGTAAGGGTCAATCTACATAAAGGTTAAAGTAAAGCTATAAGTCGTGAGATAGTCATGGTTGGCTTTGTTTTCTTATGAGATTTGTTGAGAGCACCTGATAAATGTGAGGTTACACAAAACAAAAAAAAAAACCCCAAAAAATCTAAAAAGACTAATTAACTTGTGCTTTTACTGAAACCTTAATCAACCAAATTATTAGAATTATGAGCATCTACTTATTAAGTACTGCGTCTAAAAGAGGGTATGTATATTGTCTACACCATCATTGTACATCAGCATCATTTGTTTATTTCGTGAATATAGTCGAAAATATACGACATTATGAGATTCGTTTTGTGAATATAGTCGAAAACCTTGACATTAAAATTGAAAACTTCTTCAACCCAAACACAAAATATGATCCAATTCACGATAAGCTCTACGCCTATTATATATATTATACTATTTTGTAACTTTATTTAGACTACCTAGAATGTTCTACTAATTATATTTATTTAATAGTGTTAAAACAATTTAAGAATTGGAGATATTTATTGCACTACCAAAAAAAAAAAAGAGAAAAGAAGAGGAGATATTTAAAATGAAGAAATGGGGATGAAAAACTAAAGACACTCAAACCCTTCATTAATATAAGATGGACTCACATTACAAAGGGGGGTGTGTGTTGTGTTCAACAACACACATTGACACCCAAAAGAAAAAGAGTACATCGACCATCCTACCAGATTAACCCAATCCAACGATTAATCCTACAAACACAAAGACACTACCAAATCAATTTCTCGATTCAGCACAATACAAGGACTCGAATTTGAAAAGAAAACGGGGGAAAATAAACCTAATAAGGGACCAAGTCTCCCATTCATGTTATTACACAAAGATGAGAGATTTTGGTTTAATAAGGATGACGCATTACAACAAACGAAATAGACTGCATGAACGACTTTGTTTGACTCAATCCTAATCAAATCAATGAAGGGAATCCCATGACCATCTTGATTTAGAAGAACTGAAGATGGATAAACCTAGAAGGGAAGAGGATATCCTCGCGGCCACCAGCATGCTTCACAAACTCAGCGGTGCTGAAGATCTCGCCATGGCAGGTACAGATAATCTTGGACCCTTCAACCGGACCATGCTTGAAGAGGAACCCTTTGGTGAGCCTTCCTCCAGGGACGCCGCCGCGGGTCGTACAAACAGGCATCTTCTTCAGCAGGTGCACCAGAACCTTTGCAAACATTTCGTTGCGAAACTCTTCCCCTTTACTCATAAACTCCATCATGTCCATCCCCAGCCCGGACTTGATGCTTCCGCAATCGGATGCCGTCAGGTTCGGCACCGCAGCATCATCATCCTCCACCGGCTTCGGCTTCAATTTCCTGGTGTAATCTGCCAGGGAGACGGGGGTTGCCAGCCTGGCTTTCTTGGCCGGTGGCGGCGGATGCTCCCTTAGGTATTGCATCACAACGTTCCCGAGATCAACTTCACCATCATCGCCATGGCCTGATTGGAAATGTCCAAGCCGGCTGAATTCACCAGCGTCACGGCTAAAATCTACAAAATTGAATACAATCATGGTAAATTATATCAATTGCATTTGCATGGTACAAATTTGAGAGAAAATTGAATAAAAAAAAAAGTGGGTTAAATTTGTGTTACCCTGAAGAATCTTAACATTTGACAAGGCGACCTTCTTCTTGGCGGCTTCCTGATCATCAGATCTGCTGGCATTTCCAAGGTTTTCCCTAATCAGGATTCCTTTGTTCTTTCCAGCTCCCATGGCAGCTGCAACCAAGGCCAAAGTGTCTGCATTATATGTTATTTTTTCTCAAAAATAAACTAATTTAATCGCACACAAAACCAAACGAATTGAATCAGATACTGTTAATTAAATTAAATAAAATCAATAAATAGTGAGGAAAAAAATAAATCAACAAATAGTGTGTGTGTGTGTGTGTGTGTGTGTGATTAATTTATGATATTTACCTAGATCCATGGCATCAGCTATTTTCTTCCTTTTCGGGCTCTCTTCAGGCATAATGGCTTTGCCTTTGGTTTCTCGCAAGAGGGCTTGAATGAATTCCTCCTCAGAAACTGCATCATCAGGCTTGGCCGCATTTCTCATAGCTTCCAACTCAGCTGCCTCCTCTATCATCTCTTGCATTTCCTCCTCATCCGTTGTTTCGCCGTCTTCATCATCAGAGCTTGATCCGGAATCGTATCCGAACATATCTGATGACGAATACAGGGATGAATCGGAGGAGTACCCATCTGAGTCGAAATCAATCAACATCTGCTCCTGCTGCGGCTGCTCCTCTGCCATTTTTCACCCTACAAAATATAATTGAAAACACCCCAAAAGGTTAATTTAGAGATTTCGCATTCTAGGTCGATAAAACCTATGTTAACAAAACCAACATGAAATGAATTAAAGATCTTAAACAGATTCATCTATGTAATTATTCTTAGAGTTTAAGGAAAATCAAAAAGAGAAATTCAAGTGTGGTGTATTAACTGAGGAAATGATGAGAATAAGCTCAAGAAATGATTTTGCTCAAGAGAAACTGAGAACAGTGCTTGTGGCTATGGAATCCACCCAAGGAGGGCTTTTTATAGCCAAAAAACAAGGGTCTATGTCAGAAATCTAGTCATAAATGAAGGACCAGGAGTCAAATTTAATTAAAGGTATTTGGCCACAAATGGATATGTAATACGTATTTGGTTAAAAAATAAAATAAAAATAAAATGTACATGTAAGAAAATTTATTAGCATATAAATCAAAGATCCTCAATTGTTAGCCAAGTGTAAGTACAAAGTAAACACATTGTAGTCATACGTTGTGCCTTTGCTTTGAAAGCTAAACTGGTTGTTTTCAACATAGATTTTGTTTGGTGCAATAAATAGTTATTATTACTTTTATTGTTCTTTTCTTATTTGGTTGGATGAAATAGGAAGTAAATATTTTCTTTTGACAAAGTGTGATTTTCAACTTAATATAACGGGTTGATGACTTTTCTCTGCAACAGATAAGGATGTCTGTATCTGTTTTAAAAAAAAATTACTTAATTAAAACAACAGAATGGATTAATGTCAATGAATTCGAGATGAATTTGTGTATCGAAATCATTGAAATTAAATTAAATTTACTCAGTGGTAATAAGAGAATCTCTTTTCGTGCAAAAAATAAAATATTTATAACAATGAGCTATTGACTGAATTTTTTTATTTTGTAAAACTACGTACGTTCACTTATTATAATATTATTTATATATAATTAATGAGTGGACTCGTTAAACATTTTTTTTTAAATCACTATCCCACAAATTTATAATGGAAATACAAGATTTTTTTACTTTATTTGCTTGCCTGGAAAAAAAAAAGTAATGTACCGATGTAGGATATATGGTCAGTGAAATCATCAGAGAATGAATGAACGAATTTATAAATCTCCTGTCATCAATGAAAATGATTTCTTAAATTATAGTTAATAATTTTCACTGAAATGACTACTCATTTCTTAGAGAGTTTTTTAAACGTCAATGAACCAAAAAAAAAATCACAAACACAAAATGAGCTTTCTTTCCAAACTAATAACAGACTGGGAATGAGAAATTAACATTGACATTGTCATGTTGTAATCGTGGTTTAACTCGATCGGGATTTAGAGCATCCCGCTTTACAATTTCTATTCTATTGTTGCCGAGTGTATCTTGCTTTTTAGCTTGAAAAAAAAATATTTTTCATGAAGAAAATAATATCATACACGATAATTAAATATGTAAACTCTGTTAGATTTGTTTGTGTTGATCGTCTTCTTCTTTTTTTTTCTCTTCTTTTCTTTGTTTCCCTTTGGTTACTGTTGGTCTCTTCTTAATTAGTTCGACCCATTTTTACAAATACATTAAGAGTCTTAGACGTGCCTATTGACCTAGCTAGTAAGACCAATTATTTACTTAAACCCAATATATTGATAGCAAATTTGGCTTAAAAATCCTTTTTTATAATGACCATTGCGATTGAAAACCTCATTCGAGCACGGCATGTAGCTCATTGGTTGAGATATGATAATTTCACTTCGACATGTTTATTATGGGAGATAAATATCGCGGTAGATGAATTAGCAAAAACTCCAAGTCTGTTATATTGACAGGACTAATTGCCTTTGGGCAACCAAATGTTGCACAAGCAAGAGCTAGATGATTGTAATCTGTAAACATGTGTTTAATTAGGTTGTACTCCCACCGCCCCATAATTATTGTCCAATTTGGGTTTTCACTTTTAGTACAATTTGTATTAAAAATTAAAACTCAAAACTGGACAATAATTTTGGAACGGAGTACTATTATTTGAGCAATCTATCTGTCTGAAGTCAACTAGCGAAAGTGTTAAATATAGATTGGATTATATTAACAGAGCTGTGTTGTCTTGGCCTTCAGAAAGTCTATTATTTTAAAGCATTTATGGGCCGTTGCTAATAAATCACATCCCCTGCGGGTTAAATTGGGTACATGAAATTTATGAACAAATGAATCCATTTGTATTGTTGACATTAAGAGTTCATTCTCTTGGTCCGTGAAGAAAATAACCAAGCTTAAGGTAATAGCTTTGAAATGTGCAGCTGTAAATAAATGGGAATATGAATTGAATTGCACTTGAAAAATCCATATTCTTTACAAGCATTCTGTAATGCAATAGTCATTATTAATCTATTTCCGTGGTGGTGCAGATTGGTATGGACCAGACTAACCCTTCCTAAATGCTCATTTATCTCTTGGTTATGTTGTCTTGATAGATTGGCTACCAAAGCTAATGTCATCAAATGGTACCCTTCAATTGATACCACATGTCCTCTTTGTCCTCAAAGTGAGGAAAACCTTCAAGGCTTTGTTTGTTTTCTTTTTCAATTGGTTTTTTCAGAATTATATAATAATAACTGTCTCATCCCAACATGCCTTTTTACATTTTCAATACACTTTTTTACATTTTCAATACAAAAAAAACCTAAAAACACACATTAAAAAAATGAAACAAACATATTTCAATGCCCTGTGTCTTCTCAAATTTGGCTTGCTGTTTGTTTTTCAATGGGTGGAAACTTCTTTGCTCATGGGATGCTCTTGTTGACCCGCACCTTTGAAAATGGAAAGAAGATATTCTCAGTGCTGCAAAGAAGGCTACATGGTGCACTACTCTATATCATATATGAAGATAATTAAGGAGATTAATTATACTACATTTAAAGATCATATTTTCTACTATTGAGAAGATTCTCAATTCTTCCAAGGTTCTTGCTTGGTGCCATTGTGTACATATAAGTCCTACTTTGGTCGGTAGAAAACCATAGCATGTACTATAGTGTTTGTATAGGCTTTGCTGCTCCAACCGCTTTAGATCTCATTGTATGATGTAATCAGAAACTTCTTTTGGTATTGAAAACCAACCTTCTTACTGCAAAAAAACAGAGCTGTATTGTTTACTCATCGTTCCTTCTCTTCACAAGAACCCTACATCAACTTCTGGAATCAACTCAGTCAAACTAAAAATTGAACACAAACTATACATGTGAAGAAGGGGTTGCCAATTGCCATATGTATAATATATTCTCTCTGTCCCACAAACATATATAGTCCATGCATGCAAATTTGAAGAGATTTCTTTTAAAGATAATGTAAATCTCAAAACTCTACTTTAGCATAAGTTTCAAAACTCAATGTGCACTATTTTTTCAAGAAAGTTGGAGTATCTTTTCGTCCTGAAAAAATTGTCCAACTTAGATTATCATTTCTAGTACAAATTGTACTGAAAGTTAAAATTCAAATAAGGCAAACATCTAAGGATGGAGGGAGTACTAGCTAGGTATACAGTTTTGGTAGCTACCTACTCTATATATATCTCACACATATGGGGAAATCTTGTAGTACAACGATGTCCGAGAAGCAATAAGGTAACTGTGTGGTCAAGAAACAACCATATAGGCGCTAGTATTATGATCCCATGCACAAAACTCTCACTTCGCAGCCAACAAACCGACTTGACATACTCTTCGCCAACAAACATACATCAACGTCCACAAAATCCTCCAACATTGATCGTCCGTTCAACCCCATAGCCTTCACTAGCTAATAAAGTCTTAGCCAAAAAAAAAAAAAAAGAATTATTCCAAGGCTTTAATAACAAGTCACCAACTTACAAACATGCGAGGATAGCATCACCCGGACACTTATTTCCTGCATTACATCCATACTTTCATATAAAATGTGGCTAAAGTGGTGTAACGATAATTTATTATATTTAATTAGAATCAGTATAACAAAGTAAATTATTCTCTCTTTTGGCGAAACTATCATATTTGGAAGGCTTGGAGCATTTATGTAATTCTCATCACATCTTAATTGAGCAGGACTTTTTTGGTGCCACTTTATATATATATATATATATATATATATATATATATATATATATATATATATATATATATACCAAGGAACTTGCATTTAAATAGAAAGATAAGACTCACCCGATTCAAACTTTTTGAGAGGAATTGGGGTAATCAATTAATGTTGACTACCAATTTGGTACTACGTCTTTTTTTTAGTGAAAATGTGAATTATATTGCAGAGTAACCAACATCGTCACATATTTACAATCATTTACACGTGATACCTACGTTTTCGTCCAAAACTGAGCTGCTAAACTATTACACAAAGAACAAACTTTGTATCAATGCACTTTCACTAGGCTTTTTAACCATGTAGCTGCTTTGCACTCTCCACTTTGGCTCTTCTTGATCTCCTCCTTAATCACATTTGCTCATCTATGTTTTCTTTCATGCAATTGCTGATTTCTGTTCTTTTATATATATGTGGTAGTACCCAGCCATAATAACTGCAAAAAGGATCCCCTTTCTAAACTTCTTACCCTTCCACACAATGGAAGCTTCTGTTATACACACACACGAAGGAAGCCAGAGGCTTAAGTTACAAAAGCCTGCGGTGTATAAAATAGTTTTTGTCTAAATGTAGTAATTCTAATGCGAGGAAAGGGTGCTTTCCCGAGGGAAAAGAAAAGCCACGTTTGGTACTACCTCTTCAAAGTACATAACATGTGTGCGTAAACTCTGTTTGCAATTTGCCTTCCCTTTTCTTGGGCTGAATTACCTCAGTTTGTGGTTAAACGACCCAACTACCGTAAACAAGTGGTTATACAAATTTACTTTTCAAAAAAGGCAAGTCACAAAAGATTTACGCATGCAATGTTATTAGTACATCCATTTCCAATTGTAACTAATCGTATAATAATAAAATTATATTTATATTTGTAATACAACATTTCAACTAACATTATTCTTATTTCGAAAGGGGGAGTTATATTTCCCTATTACTCCTAGTCCCGCAATAACGGGGTTAATAAGCATGTGTTTTGTGAAACTAATTTCGTTGCTGATTTCTTAGCTTCCTTAGCAGCACAAGAATCGGGAGGGTTACAAAGATTTGAGGCACCGGCAGAAGGGAAAAATTGACCGATCTACCCAAAGGTTGACATGCGTTGTCAATTCTACCACATTCT